TACTGATGAGTCCAGTAGTGGAAGTTGGGACGAAACGCCATAATTACGTAATATTCTTCGCAATATATTAGATTGATTTAAAGATTTTAATGAAAATTGGCTCATTGCCCTTATTTCATTATATTAGTTGTTTAATACTTATTGAGCCTTATCATAAATATTTAATTTATTAAGTTAATTTAAAACATATAATAATTCTTATATAAATAACAAACAAAACTCCTGTATAAATCAAAAACTAACTTGGAAAGAAAAGGGTACTAGGAGTCAAGCGCAGATAATTTCACGCAACGCCGATATAAATCAAGCAAATCTATTTATGACAAACAATTGTGCTTACATGTTTTGGCTCATTTTTGAGCCTTCTTCAGAGACACTGAAAATTACATAAATAAATTATAATTTACAAAGAATAAAAAGATGTTTAATCATAGTGAGCTCCCTCACAACCGAGAAATAAATTCTGATGACAATTTCATCTTAAAGAACACAATAAGATGAATAATAAAAGAAGAAAGGAAAGAAATAAATAGAATGCTGAAATTCTGGAAAAAAAAATTTTCCAAAATTTCTTAGAAAAATAGTAATTTCCAAATTAAATTGATCATAATTACAATTATTTTATCGAGAGTGAGGAGGCTCACCATGTTCACCACAATACTAATCGCAAACAATCTCAAAACCGGTCTTCAGAATAATTTAGGCCAATCAGTCTCTGACACAGTGAGTCACAACAAATTTTGTTTGACAGTACTAAATTAAATTATCAAATCACAAATATTAAATGCTAAAAGACTCAACCACTGTGCACAAACAAGACTTGGGTACCTATTATGGAACAAAGTCGGAATGGATTCTGATCGGAATTGTTCCCTAGATTTCTATTGTGTTTTTTAGGGAAAACGGAATAATTCCAATCGGAATCCATTCCGACTTTGTTCCATGATAGGTACCCTGATCTAGTCAGTCTTGCTTGTACACAGTGGTTGAGTCTTATAGCATTTGATATTTGTGATTTGATTATTTAATTTAATACTGTCAAACAATTTGTTGCGACTCACTGTGTCTGAAACTGATTGGCCTAAATTATTCTGAAGACCGGTTTTGAGATTGTTTGCGATACAGTATTGTGATAAACATGGTGAGTGTTTACTCCTCACTCTCGGTAAAATATTATAATAATTGTAATTATGATCAATTTAATTTGGAAATTTATTATTTTTCTAAGAAATTCTGAAAAATTATTTTTCCAGAATTTCAGCATTCTATTTATTTCTTTCCTTTCTTCTTTTATTATTCATTTTATTGTGTTCTTTAAGATATGAAATTGTCATCAGAATTTATTTCTCGGTTGTGAGGGAGCTCACTATGATTAAACATCTTTTTATTCTTTGTGTTGTTATTAAATTATAATTTATTTATATAGATAATTATTATTGTCTCTGAAGAAGGCTAAAAAATGAGCCGAAACATGTAAGCACAATTGTTTGTAATAAAGAGATTTGCTTGATTTATATCGGCGTTGCGTGAAATTATCTGCGCTTGACTGCTAGTGCCCTTTTCTTTCCGAGGTAGCTTTTAAGTTAATTTGTTACAAGACTTACTGCTTAGATGCCTGGACGGTCGCCACTTTGTTTAACCAACAACAAAGAAGGAAGATGTCGGTCTTTCGTCACTCTGGACGATGCCCCTCTGGACCCTTCGGATGCTGCGTGGATCTCTCGGAGATATGTAAGTATTTCAAAGGTAAGTAATCCAACAGGTAAATATCCACAAGGTAAGTATTGTTAACGATTGCAACACTTTGTTAATTTTAATATTTATTATACATATAAAGGTTAAATATGTCACTTATCACTAAATTACACACGACTTATAATAATAAACACGTATATCGCGCGTCCGCGGAGCTTTACTTCTCGCTATTGAATCGTTTACACGATTATTAACACTTAACGCGTTGTATTTGCACGGAATCTTTACTTCACGTAGCGGCACGTTTTTTTTATTACCAAACGCAGATGTCGTTGTTTAAAATCATCGAAAAGCTCTCGATCCGTCCGGGATCGGTGATATCCAAAGACAGAGAATGGACTGCGCGATCCGTGTATCAAAATGGACAATGAAAATAAAAGAGAGGGACCGTGGAAGACGGCCATCTCCCTCTCATTCTCTCTTCCATTACTATGGAATGGAAAAAGATAGAGATGGCCGTCTTCCACGGACCCTCTCTCTCATTTTCGTCGACACATTTTATACTACTTAGATCGCGCAGTCCATTTATATCTTTGATGATTATCCATCAGACGTGTGGACCTCGCAGAGAGATTCATTCTCGCGCGCGCTTGATTGTTATTCGAACGCTGATTGGAACCCGCCAATTCGGATCCTCCAATCAGGATAATGTCAGAATTCCCGCTCCTAAGATGGCAGGATATTAAAGCGGGGAGCACAGACTTTTGCATAACGCATAAAGCATGAGCATAAGGAATTTCATTGGTCTATTTTCTTATGCATGAGTCAATGAACCAATCAAATTCTTTATGTATATGGTTTATGCGTTATGCAAAAGGCTGTGCTCCCCGTTTAAGCCATAAGTCATAAATCGGAAGTGAGAAACTAAAAATTGACGACTGTGATTGGTCCATTTCTAGCTTATGACTTATGATTTGTGACTTACGGCTTAGGCTGGAGTCACATTGAGCGGAAATCTACAGTGGAACGGAACAGCGAGACCAATCACAATCGCAGAAAGTAATGCAGCGGAATGATTGTAGAGTTCTGATTGGTTTCACTATTCCGTTCCGCTGTAATTTCCGCTCAATGTGACTCCAGCCTTAACTTGAGGATCTCTAATCCTCGAGTTTGATCTTCTTCTTTTTACTTCGTGATCTCGGTTAAAAGTGAATTGTGGAACAATGGAACTCTAGGCTATATAAGTAGTAGATGATAGTAAATTAATATAAAGTTTTGAAAAGATGTTTAACGTACCGCAATCTTATAACTATTGTACAAAACATTTTATAAAACTGTGCCGGTTATTTAGCATGGTAAATATTTTGATAAATACGCATACTGATAATATAATTTAATTTATATTTAATTATTTAGAATTAATTAGAATACTCGCAGTTTAGCCGAATTATTTAGAAAACATCCATAATTATTTTGACGCCTCACCTCCAATTTTGATGTAATAAACCTAATCGACGCGTTTTTGCAGGAAGTAAAAGAATTTGTAAGAAAAAAACGTTGAATCGGTTCGATAAATAAGATATTAAGCGTTAAAATTAACGACTGTTCGAGTTAAAGTGATTTGTCATCCCGTCACACGTTACCACAAAATTTAATAAAAATATATTTAATATTCGACGCGTTTTTATTTGAAACAAAAAAATTTAGCGAATAGCGCGGCGGTCGGTCGAGTTATTAAGCGTTAAAGCTCAAGATTTTAGAGGTTAAGATATCTATCATTGCGACTAGATATACAGCGCTATATATATGTTCTGCTTTAATTACATAAATTCTTTGCTTTAAAAACATAAACCTCTGCATTAGTAGTGAATTTGTGTTTTTAAAATAAAGAATTTATGTATAATAATTAAAGCAGAACGTATACATAGCGCTGTAAATCGACCCAACATTTTTTTTCTTACAGATTCTTTCGTTTCCAGCAAAAGCACATCAAATAAGACATAAGACTAATTTCATAAAAATCAGAGGTAATCTAAGTAATTGGGTATCCTAGATAATCATCAAATTAACAACTAAGGAAATCTATCTTAATTATGCGATATTGCAACGTGAGGATGGTAACCAAAAACTTTCTTTACACTGAGAATGTAATACGCGTATTAATCAAGATTCTAATGACCCCTTTTACACCGAGCACTTTATACGCGTATTAACTAGTAATTTTCTATTAAATAATCTTAATTTCAGGAATGTATTTAAAGAATAATGTATTAAATTAATAAAATATGCATCAAAATAATTAATTAAATACACATATCATGTATATGTTTACACATAACGCTGAAATTAAGATAATTCAATAGAAAGTTACTGGTTAGTACTCGTATCAATTGCACGATGTAAACTATAAGGCCATTCCGGCCTGATTTAAGAAAAGTATTATTTTTAATAGGTTTTCTTTTTCACAATATGAATATTTCAACAATATGAATATGAATATGGTGTTTATTAATAATTATTTACATATTATACTTATAAAAATATACAACATCAGACAATTTTATTTAAGTCAATGAGATTTACATTTTTTATGCATTCATCTTGATAATATTTTTCAGAAAACAGCTAAATTGGAAAACAATTGTGAAATTCATGATGTAATTGGTCCTCCTGATCCAATTTCAAATCTAAGACCTGTTGTATTTGCCAGTTCTATAAAAGAAACACACTTAGAAAAAAGATATAGAGAGTTTAGAAAAGAGACGCAACAATGGAATCAAATATTCTGGTCCAAGCATAATACTAATTTTATTGAGGTAATTTTATTGTATCAAATTGTGCATGGACATTGCGCCGATGATCTTGACCTTGACATATGTTGTCAAGATTTTGAGTAACTTTGCTTTAACAATTAGGTGGCGATTTCTTATAGTTTCTGAGATACTTAGACTCAAAAGTCTAATTTATGTGGTATATATTTCCATTAGATAGAGAATAAACTCTGATGACCTCAATCTTGAATTGTTGAAAGTATATACTTCTATTTATCTCTACTAGCACTCAAATTTTCACTGATATTTAGAAAACACAATTGTATCAGTTACTTTGCTGAGTTCTTATTTAAACACATAAATATTCATTTTCCGAACGTATTGATGCGTTTTTTTTTTACAATTATGGATGAACTCATGTATCCACCAACACTGGAAAAATAAATATGTATAATAATTCATATAGCTAATATTTTATTTTAGCAACCTTATTTTTAGATATTATATAATATACATAATTGTACTATTGCAACCATTAAATTTGTTTGTAAAGTAGTGTATACGTGGATGCAATGTGTTTCCCCCCTCCACCGCCCCTGCTGGGGGGGCTTTACAGCTGTTATAATTACCTAACCGAACCTATTTTTTGGTGTGAGGCGGCCTTTGCTACGCGTGACAGTTGTGCTACCCTTTTCCTCCTTTTTGCCTTCTTGAGCATATGATTTCTACGCGTAGGGTAGAGGGTCACCTTATACCAAAAAATAAGTTGGATTAGGTTATTTTCAAAAGTAGTGAAATCTTCCCGTATGGGGGGGGGGCAGAACGCACTGCATCTACGAATACACTACTTTACAAACAAATTCACTGCTTTAAAACACTTTAACGCTTAATATCTCAGAAACTATAAGAGACCGCCTAGTTGTTAAGACAAAATTACTCAGAATCATGACCTTGACAACATATGTCAAAGTCAAGATCATCGCGCGGTATCCGTTAACATGCATAATTATCGATAATCAATAACATTAAACAGGACGATAAGAGTTAAATTACAATTAAAAATCTAAATTTCTCTGATCATTTATTCTAATATATTGCGAAGAATATCACGTAATTTTTGACGTTTCGTCCCGGCTTCCACTACTGGACTCATCAGTAAAGCATTGTAGTGGAAGCCTACCTTATACGCCTTGATAAATTATTAAATCGAGATTCTATATAAAGAGATATACGCGTGTCTCAGACTACTTGCGAGAATTTGCGAATATCGATAGACCTCTAATGGCGAGTCGACGTAGTAACATTCTTCGCAATACCTATTCAAAGTAAGAAATAACATCTTATTAATATATGTATAAGTCCTCCTAAATTGCGCGCCGAACAAATGTCGGGTCTTGCAACGCAACTCTAATAATCTTACCGAGTAATGAAATTTTGAATTTCAGGAACGTAACCAATTTCAACAGCTGTTAAAAGTACAAGGGAGAAAAACATTAACTGCAGATGATATGTCAGTATTTTATAAATTATTTTTAGATAAAAATTGGCAATCTCATTTCGATTATAATATTACATGGTATAAGAAAAATATAAAAATTCTATTTTTTGGAATAGCAGCAAAAATATCAAAGCTTACATTTAAATGAATTTGTATAATTAAACTGACACATTTATATAATATGATATAAATAATACAATTAAACGTTTATACAAGTCATATGATATTGAGGTTATATATTTAAATAAATATTAAAGGGTTATAATTTTTTTGTCTGTGATATTTATATGTAAAAAAATTACTTTGCATAAAATGATGTGTAATATAATAAAATTGTTATTAATTTTTTTTAATTATTAAAATATTAATATAATAAAATGTGAAATTGTGAGCAAAGTTTGAATTATTAATCGTAAATTGATATTTCTCATGTTGTAAGATTAAAAATGTACAATCCAGCTTAAAAATAGAAAATTAAAATATTTTTGCACCTTCACATTCCTATTCGTTGGTGTTGGTCGACCTATTTAGTAGATCAACCATGAAAATCGATATTGATAAGAAAAGATAAATTTTTTGAATGCGTTATTAACTATACTTTTACTAAAAGTATGTTGTATTTTCAAAACATTTTGATTTCCATATTATATGCAAGTGTTTGTTGTTTAAATGTCCAAATATATAAATATGATAGTATAACATAAATTAAGAAAAATGTAAAAAAGAAAGGTTGTTTACGTACAAAGTATTACGTGCTACATCATAATTTGACACATAATATAAAATATATTTATTTTACTTGTAGAATAATAAAAAATAATTTAATTACATACTGATAAAATAATTAGATTGTATATTTAACACTTGTGGCGTCGAGTGGCTCACCGCTCGGTGCGATTGACTCGCGATCTGTAGACCCGAGTTCAATCCCACGTGCGCCCAAATGCGATTTTTCGCGTTTAATGAACCAAAAAATGGCTCTACCTGGTGATCAAAAGATCTATGATCATCAGCGCCGTTCGGGGATTCGACGTTAAATTGTAGGTCCTATATATTAGTATATTATCAGTAGATATTTGTCTCTAATATCTGACTGAAGGTAGGATTCTGTGGATCAATCACTCACAAATCCGAAAAACAATCTGATTCGAGAAACGAATATAGGTCTCGGTCAAAAGGGGAAGAAGAGGCCTATAGACGTCCTATGCTCCACATAAGGAGATAAAAGGAGTCATCATCATCATATTTAACACTTATAAACTTTTTCTTCAATAATATTTATTTTAATAACGTATTTTCAACAGCTCATATTATTATTGTACATTAATGTTAGAATTTTATTATGATTTCGCCATCAATCGCGAGAATGTTTTTCTTAAATTATTATAAATTGTTTGTAATAATAAAAAATGTAAACATATAAAAATATGTAGGTAATATGTGCTATTCTTTAATCAGATTTAACACTAAATTTAGTCATATTCTATAAAATAGTTCGGCTTCGCTTAATTTTTTCAGTCTTACAATTATTGACATTACTAGCAAATCTTAGCGAATTTAATGTCTCGTTATAACATTCGTCTAATGGAGATATATTTAGTAACATCAAAGTTTTCGAATTGCCTCCCAAAGAAGGCATCAATAAATGAGTCAACTTCGAATTTCTATAAGGGATATGTTCCTGTTTTTTTAAAAGTGCTAAAATAACATTACCAAGATTTGCCAAAGATTTATTAATATTTTTTGTTTCTGTAGTTCTAACAACTTCTTCAGTCTTCAAACGTTCGGATCCAGCTAAATCGACTAAATTCAGATTTCCTACAGATATCTCTTGTTTTATGGTATGTGTACCAATTAATCGTATTCTTGTCACTGAATGCGATCTGGATGACCTAGAATATAAATCATTATTCCAAATTAAATTCCATGTTTAATTATCTCAATAAAGTTAATTAATTATAGATACGTTTCCGATACTTTTCAATTTAATTAACAAGATAAAAAATTTTTTGTTGTAACTTTTTACTACAAAATTTAAACTAAATATATTTACCGTTCATTTGATTGAGTAGCTGCAACAGCTCGATTGCGTTGTGCAGTCTGAAGACATTTATGCAATTCTTCAGGACTATGTATTTCTTCTATCCGAAGATTACTAACATATAAATCTTGACTTTTATTGTCAACCATTCGTATTTCGTGTGTTTTTGATTGAGAATCAAGAAGATCAACAATATGTTCATTGTAAATTTCGAGAAAACTTGCTTCAATTTGATACTCCCAACCAAGAAGTTCAAACTGTTTCATTTCTTTAAATATATGACATACCTGAAATGATATAAAAATAATTTTAATTCTTTAAAAACATTAGATTAGCTGTACTTATATAAACATGTAATTTAACTAATACTTAAATACTTATCCTAAAGTTCTTAATTTAATGTTTAGTTTAAAAACATAAGTAAACAACTCCTTGAATTTAAAAATATCAAAACACTATCCTCAAAGCCATAGGATTCCACCGCTAGATGTTAGGTTGCGAAATAAATATGAATTTTTGTAATTTCAATCTCTGTACGTTTCGACTTTATTCTTAAGTCATATCTCTCTCTCTCTTCAGCAAAATTGATTGATTGATATTCCCATCTTAGTATATTCCCATCAAAGTAAAAAATGTCATCCACTTCAGTTACCCGGCTGAGTGATATGTAAATTTCATGCTTTATGAGCACCAAATTGTCGTTTATAATTTTAACTCTCCATTTAATTCTAATACAAACTGCTTAGTACCACCACATGTGTTTAACATATTTTTAAATTATTGTCAGATTTTATTATTACAAAGTGTTGTCTGTTACAATGGGTCATATCAACCACTTGAGTGCAAAAAAATAATGGATTTCTTTTTACTACACCTAATATATTAATCTTATACATACATGTACACATATACATACACTAGATGCTGACCAATAAAATTATAAATATTCTAGTGTATATATATTTAATGCACAATCAACTCCCAGTTTCAACTCATTTTATACTATTCAATTCGATTCGTATTAAAAAAAAAACTGGATTCGATCATTCGATTCAGAATTTAAAAAAACGTTATTCGTTCATTTCTAGTATATCTTTACACCAATTGTTGATCTCATTATTCTGTGCATAAAGATGAAAGTACAATTACCAAAGATAAATAATTTACGAGACATTTTACATTTCATATAAAAATGTGATTAGATTTTAAATAGATTAAAACATGAAATACCTCATAAAACTAATAATTTGTCAATCACTTCAATTTAATACTTTTATATACAGAATAATCAAAGAAATCAGATTATCTAAAAAAAATTATCTCATTCCATTTACAAAAATAGTTATGACTTTGAAAAATTTATTTTTTTTTCGAAATTGATTTTAGTATTATTTATGCCTTCTCAAACCATTCAACTTTTGTCTAAATATTTTTAACTCGACCATATCCTACAAATATGTACGGAATAGTCACGCTAAATGAGACAACGTGTGCATGTGCATGTTTTTTGAAAACTGCATAAACTGTCAAAATAAAAATACGCGAAAATATTAAATCTCAAAAATGCCTGAACCTGTAAACTAGAACTTATCAATTGCATATTCGAGGAGCAGACTTCTAAAATGCATTTTGTCCAAAAATTTCATTTTTTTTTTTTTTTTTAATTAGAAATAGTATAGTGTTCGGTGAAAGACTCATATTATAAGCTACTCTAAAATGTTCAGAAAGTATTTTTTTTCACCGTCAATTTCACCGTGAAAAAGCACAGACATTTGGAAGTGCATTATTTTAACTAGAGGCAAACAAAATTTTGTTTAGCATTTTTTTAGTATTTGTTTAACATTTTTAACAATTGTTCACAGCAATTTTGTTTAATACGTCACATTCTACTAATTGACATTGTTATTTTCTGTAAAGTGTATAGTTTTCTTATGTGTACAGTTTCTGTTTATTCTCGTTTTCTAAAATTACAAATTTTGAACAAAATGCATTTTGAAAGTTTACTTCTCATTTATTATATTGTAAATATATAAAAACGTACTGTTCTAGGTATCATGCCTTCGGTTTGTAATCCACATTCTCCTTCCATAGTATACGTCTTGCCAGAACCAGTCTGACCATAAGCAAAGACACAAACATTATATCCCTCGAGGGCAGATTGTACTAAAAGAGATAATTCTTCAAATACATCTGCCTGCGATGCATTGGAAGTAAATACTTTATCAAATGAAAATTCTTGTTTTATTCCTCGTAGTTTCCGACTGCAGCTGACTCCATCCAATCCATCTGATTTACTTACTTCAATAGTGCAATCGTCTACGAAGTTGATATTACACGGCCTATAACAAACATTAACTTTATAAGTTATATATCAAATACAAATCAAATAAAATATCAAAATTATCCCTTCAACTAATGGTAAATATGGAGTTTAGGAGAACCTCTAATAACCTTAATCTTGACACATGTTGTCACAAGGTCATAATCCTGAGTGACTTTGAAAAAATTTTAACCGTCGGACCTTACTCGTTAAAAAGTTACGAACGAAAAAAGTTTAAGAAATAATGTCTCATTTTTTGCTATATAAGCCAAGAGTCGCACGCTCGCACATGAATTCCAATTTTCCATAAATAATATATTGAGCCTATAATTGTGCAGCAAAATACATTTTACTTACGTTTTCATTTGTTCAATTTCCTTCGGAGTTCTTGGACGAACTCTACAAAATACTCTAATGTTGCCTTTTAGTTCTTGTATATTATTGTGCAATACTCTACGTTCTTTATCCATTTTATGAGTTAATACTTGTAATTCTTCCTTGACAATATTCAAATCTTTATTTACTTTTTTTTGCAATTCTAAATCTGTTTTCAAAACTGTCAATTGTTTAGTTTGTTCTAAGTTCAATATCTCTTGATCCTTACATTTTTCTTGAAATTCATTTAATGTACAAGAAAGACTTGTGCACAATTCTTTTGATTCTTTCAACTGTCTTACTAAATCTTCCTCATTTTTTCGAATTGCAACTATTTCTCCTGTTAAAGTCTGAAGTTCATTAGTCAAAGAGTTATTTACAATTTCAAGTTTTTCTGCTTTAGCTTTACATACAGTTTCACTAGTT